TTACTTGTCACTGATAAAGGAGTCCAAATCAATAGCGTTTTATCCTTACATTCTTCACGATCGAGTCTTGGAAACCGACAACGCAAAAACAATGCCACGCACGGAGCGACTCGCGCCACTGCTTGCCGGCTCGACGTTCGGCGAGCGAGTGAGAACGCGGCGACCTTGAGGTACAATGATGGTACGCAAAAACATCGTACGTCACCGCGCCGAGTGAAAAACAAGAAAAAAACGTTGAGAATTCGTTGGCCCATCTATGTAATGGAAAATTCCGTACTTATCACTCGCTCGCCGAACGTCGAGCCGGCAGGCAGCAGCGAGAGTTGTTCCGTGCGTGATATTATTTTTACGTTACCGGTAACCATTTTTACGTTACCAACTCATCTAAATCATGAATGTATACCGTGGTACTTTGTCGCGGTTACATCTTTTTTACGCACCGCGCTTTTAACTATCTATCGATTTCGTGTAATCTGTTCCATTTTCGGGGAGAGAAATTTGTGCGACTTTGGCGTTCACGGCGTAATTCGCTCTGTCGTTCTTCGCAATTCAAACGGGCAGGAAGCAAAGAACGTCGCTTACTGCATTTCACGGTATTTTACATCGCGTACGGGAGTGTCCGAAATTTCGCGCGTTCGATTTTCGCGAGTAAGTGTTGTGAGTGTAAGTGCAACAAGAAAATCTGAGAGGAGGAGCAGGCCCAGGCGGCATCGGGCAACGGCAGAGAAATCGTAAGGTAAGTGTCTTACATTTTTGTTATTTGCTATTTGTGCAAAATGAATCGTCTGTTCTGTCCTTTTATTTTATTTATTCAAACGATTCCAACGAGCATTCGAATAAGTGTTAGAGACAAAACCATACGTATAAAATTTTGTGAGTTCATATTTAAAAGGAAAACTTTCAGTATTCTATATAATTGTTTTAATAAATACCCATTTTTTAAAATATAAAATATAAAGTATATTTAATACAATAGTTTTGATTTTGCATAATTAGTCTATAATAATCGTATACATTTTTGTATTGTTACAGTTCAATATATACATATAGTTAGCGATGTACATACAACTTTGCTGTTGCGACTCGTATCAGTGAGTGACATATTACTTTTTATTTTAAAGTGACGTTGCGCATATAATTACTTCTCTCTCTCTCTCTCTCTCTCTCTCTCTCTCTCTCTCTCTCTCTCTCTCTCTCTCTCGCTCACGCCCGCGCGCGCGCGTTCTGTCATGTCTAGTATTTCTAAATTGTAAACCTGCATTTACTCTGAACCTAAAAGAGAAGTGAAGCACATCGAGCTTCGAGAAAATCAATCGGCATCGCGGAGAAGGGCCTTAACTGTTCGATTACGAATGTTAACGACATTCGTGCTAGTAACATCTCTTTATTAGTAAGGGACAAGCGCGCGCTTTGCGCGCGCCATTTGCTCTCTCTCTAAAAATTCGCATGGTTTAACAGCTGCAAATAACACGACTGAAGTATGTCGTATCGCACAAGCGAGACAGCCAATCAGCATCGCGGAAAAGCGGTAACAATATTTCGAGATGTGCGACTAATCGACTTACATGCCTTATTAGAAGTGGAAAAATATCACATTTTACTCATTGTAATTTCTTACAAATATTAATGGATTACATAAATCTATCCAATGTGGAAAAGGAGCCTCCGTCTGCGAAATCTGTCTTACGTTTATGAAAATCACGTGCAACGAAACGCAATGACAGGCATTCCGTAGTAGCATGAAAATGACTCCTCGACGCGGATCAAGGATGATATCCAAGGCGGAGAGAAAACTAGAGAGGCATCGTCGGGATTATATGGGGCGCGTCCACGTATACACTCTCCTAAGCGCACTCCCCAGAATATTTCCATCTCTTCCTGTCTCTTCCGATCTTCGCCTGCATCCATTCTCGTTCTCTTCCTTCTGCTATTTCTTTCTCCCCTCCCCGTATGACGAGCCCGTCGCGCACAGTTTACATCCACACCTCCGACCGATTATTTGTTGCTTCCGTTCCGAAAGACTATTTTCAACCGACGACATTCGTATTCAGATCAGTTGTATGCACGTTAAACGTAGTTATCGAAAACGCAATGCTCATCTCGCAGGAAGTATTTACCATTATTGTTCACAGAACGGCAAATCGTACCATTTTACACAAAGACAAACATTTTACTTTGCTTTTCTATTTATCGCACGATCTTCTTCGTTCGTTTTCTTTGTCTCGAGTGTCCTGAGCAGATGTGCGTAATTAACCCTTTGAGAGAGGTTGCGAACATGTATCTACTATCATTGGAGTGCACGCTGTGGATAATAACTACACTTACACTAGGAGAGAAGAGCCCGCGCGTCTTCTATCTTCAAGTTCTCGTAGTTGAAAATTACATAGGTCTGCATTAAAAAACAACTGAATAAGCGTTTATGTTCAACGCTTTTTTCTTCTGAATCTAATAAAAATATACTCCCTGTTATCTGAACACCCTTGTGCTTCATCCCGAGAATAATTTCACGACACACGAGTTGCCGAGATAAAAAAAAAGTTACCGCGTGAAAAAGCGGCTCGGATGTTCCAGGTAGGCGGTCGTAGTTCCTCCAGCAGCACAGACTCTTCCTCTGTACAGTTTCTCTAAAGCCGTAACGCGGCTTACGACTAGGGAGTTATGGCGCTGGCTGGTGGTACGCGAACAAGATTTGAGCTCGAGAGGGAGTTATCAGGCGACTTAATCGAACGATTAATGGTACGGCACGTGTAAAAGTCCCACGGAGAGACGAAGAAGCGCGCGAAAGAGGAAAGGATAGGGACCGGGGGTAGGAATCAGTCAGTGATTCGGATCGGCCATGAAATCGCTTGTTAGACGCTGGACCTTATAACGTGCTCCTCACGTATATTTAAATAAAACAACCCCAGCGCTGAGTGATTAACTAATTATTCCGTAGCCCCACAAGATCAATCGCCATAATCGCAACTCGTCCGGTCACAAAATGCGCTGTGCTTTTCGTAAAATAATACTAAGAATGCGATATGTAAAGAAACGCTCAGTTTTAAACATTTTTATCACTTTTATTGGGATGGAATCGCAATCAAAATACAATCAGCATCGTACGCCAATATAGATTTAATGTAAAATTATGCAAAGTAACTTTAAACTTAAATATTATATATAAAATATTCAAAATTTAATGTTATATACAAGTTCTGCAGTGAATATTATCTTTCAATCAATTTGTGCGTCGTCACAAATAGCTCACGTTTAAGGTAACTTCGGCTATAACAGTCAACTGAAAGGAAACTACGGACATGTGATATTATTCGACCAGTATTATGAACTGTTTGAACTTTAGAAATCACACTAAAAATATATTTATGATCTCTATCGAATTGAATGCAATTAACAGGGAGCTGCCTTTGGTACGTAACTCAAAACAGCTAATTTTTTAAGCTTGCTTATTATCGACATATATGTCGATGTTATTTACAAATACAATCTAATTCTCCCTCCCCCTCCCCCCCTCTCTCTCTCTCTGGATTGGAGAAATATCGACGGTGATGGAACGATTCGAGACGCGTTAAATATTAAGCCGACCACAAGGCACACCCGAGTTGGCTCATAATGAGGGCGTTTTCTGTATCTTGGAGATAAAACCTATGCATCTTCACCACTGATCAGGACCGCTCATTAGCAGTAGATTAATATGATCCGGTCGACGGAACGACCAAACAAATACACGGTAGCCATGTTCACGACAACGTCCCCATTCGTTTCGCTGCTCCAAGCCGTTCGGGTCTCAATAAGGTATGCGCAGGGTGTAAATCCAGCAAACCTGAGAAATTTCAATATTCAATAATTGTAATACATAAAATTATATATGCCGGGCTGAGTGCTCGACACAAAATTAATAACAATTAGAGTAGTTAATTAGTTAATTACGAGAATGTCGACGAATTGAAAGATGTAAACAAGAAGGGACGAAAAAATGCGAGATGACCGCAGGTATTCCCGAATTAATTACTTGAGATAAATCAAATACCGTGCACCACGACAGTTACGTATTTTCTATCACCATCTTAATCTTTTAACTACGACAGCGACATTACTCTACCGGATCTCGGCAAAACCACCTAAATATGTGAGACGCATTTTTTACATTTCGCCGCGAGAGACGATCTGCAATAATATTGCAGCTCGTAGATTGAAAGTTACGAGGGAGTAAGTAAAGAAAACCGTAGCCTTACATGGAACTTCGCGCGAAATCAAGATCTCGGTTAAGGTGGGGACACGAGGGTAATGGCGTGTGCATTATTCTGATAAATCGCTCCGACTGGCGTCAATCCTGACTTCGAGCTGACTGGAAATCTTGCCCGGCAAAATCTATACCTACCTACACAGGATGCTTGAAGTCAAATCGCGGCATCATCGAACGGGAATGCCAGACGAAAAATATGTCGTGCGATTGACACCGTACGTTTTATCTTTCAATGAAATTACATAAGGAAATATCTACGCGAATCTCTTTTTTACCTATACGCAGAAGCAAATATACGTGTAATTATGTAATCAAATTAAATTTACGTAAGATGGCAGAATACTACGGCAGTATTATAACAAGCAACGGTTTGTGTAAAAAATATTTTGACAAAGTAATTTTAAATATGCGCATATAGAGAGAAAAGTCTTCTATTATGCGATAGGATTCTAATATGAGATAGCAGGTTTTCAATCACAAATCTCTTTTCGCAATGATTACACGATCTACCAATCAATTTTTAAACAGACATATTCGTAATTTATTGATTAATGAGCGATAATTAATTTTAGCGATGGTTTTAGCGATAGAACTATAACATTTTTGACTTTGCTCCAGTCTTTGACTATACTCCAGTCGTAAGCCACAGATTTATCGCAGCATTATCGATTGCCGCACTGGCACTAATTAGCAATTCGTAGATACCAACCATAAAATTAATATTTATGTAATAAGAAGCATCTTACAAATTATAATAAATTAAATAATTAAACGTAATTTAAATATTATACAGAAGTTTGAGCAAGTTTTCTCTTCTCATTAAATTTCTTCTCTTCTCTTTAGCATTAAATACGGGGATGTTACACGATTAGAAATGTAACGAATTGTAAATTTCGCATATTTCATAAATTTAATATCATTCGACAGAATATATTTGAGAAGGTATCGATAAGCAAGTGACACGAATCTGCACCGTACCTGGAGACCTGAAAAGGGCCTTCTACCCTGACTGCCAAGATTTATCGTTTAAACGTGCACTTATGGGTTCAAGAGAGGGTATTGCGTCACATACGCGAGGCTATAAATCATCAAAATATGAGTCGATGATAGAACGCAAAGGAATAACGTTTAGTACCTGAATTAACGTCATCTACGGCATTTATGCGAATAAATGATTGGACATATTACTCATCCGAAAGGACAAGTTCATCAATACTACGACAAGGCCGAGAAAGTCGAGCCTCGAAAAAAATTACCCGTTGCTTTGTATATTTTGTAACGACACAACGCGGTGAACGCTAAGCCCGTGGATTCTGGAAGATAAAATTTAAGGATGCACGCTCGCACATGCGAAGGCGCAAAAAGATGCGGGCAAGTCAAGGAAAATCAAGTTCATCCCCGCACATGCTGCTACACTCGGCGAGATCTTCGCCCGAATGGAATTATAGCACGTGCTTTGAAACGTTGAACCCTCTCTCCGTTTATCTTCCAACTGTGGTAAAAAGAACATCTTCTGATACTCGCCCGTCATTCATACGTACCGAGAATTAATGGCTTGCGCAGCGTGGAATTCCGTTATTTACGTTCCAGCATTGAATATTAATTTCATTAGTTTGCGAATAAAAAAAGATTGATTTCTTCTTCCTTCTTTATCCTCGCTGCAACTTATTTAAATAATTTATTTCAAGTAATTGGCATATCCGATGCGTTGACGTTGCTCGAATTAAATGTCGTATCTCAAAATAATTCAACTAACAATATATACATGATGGATTATAATTTGTTTAACACCCTAAGTGTAGCTATAAAAATAAAATATTCATATCAGTACCTTTTGACAAACTAATGATTCAGATATTTAAAGAATATTTCCGTTATTACTGTAAAATGGAACATCTGCCGCCATTGTAAACATGTATAATTATTAGTTATTAAGATTTACCGTGGAAACTTAATTCATAGCAATCATCATCGCTACTATCATCGTCCATTCCCGCGCTGACCCCAGGCATAACAAACGAACGAACCAACGAACGAACGATTCGCAACGACGACGATATTATCTATTATATTTAATGCGAACCTCTTTAGCCTCCGCTAATTGATAGCTGGGCATTAGCGTAATTGTAATGAGTCAAAATTACGGCAATCATGCGGTCTAGCGCCTTGGGGGAGGAGTTAAAGTCTTTGGCTTTCGGTGGATCTTCAAAGAAATTCGCCGTTGTATTCTTCCGCCAGTCTGAGACTGTCTGAATATTTTATGCGTGAGAAAATAATATTTTCACGTCGTATTAAAGAACAAAATAGAATATCGACAAAGGTTTCAACCGCCACGTACATTTATGGAAATGGGGATTCTTCAAAGCGTATATTTTTACCGCGAAAGATTACTTTACGAGATAACATCGGGGAATATTCTAATAAACATCGAAGCCCGAGCAACTTGGGAAAAACCAAATGTGTGATCTTCTTAACACACAAATAGCATTCGAAATAAATCTGTTACGTAGCAACTATTTGTCAAACGCAAACGTTAGAATTTTAGCATTGAATACAATACTGAGGACTATTCCAGACAAATTTATAAAATACCCATACAGCACACAAATGTTGAATCAACATCTCAGAAACGTTCCATTACAACATTGCAATATTGCATCAATGTTACGAACTGTAGATTCAACGTTGAAAAGATATTGCAAAAACGTCTAATGTCCGCTGAATTGTAATGTCTTGTGAATGTTACAATTCAACATTCAGAAAACATTGTTAAATTATATTGAGTTAACATCGGTCGCGTTTAGCAGAATATTTTTTACAAGTGTTGGAAGTACTGTTACAATTAAATTATTCCATCTTAGCTGAGAAAATTTCTGACCATTGCAAAAATATTATACATTTCATAATTATACGTTTTTTAAGTATCTATTTGAGTGTCAAAAAATAATAATTTGTTCAAGATTGTTTTAACGTTGCAGCAATATAAAGAATTAATGTACATACAAACATTTACCTAGATTCAACGTAGAAAAGATATTTGTACTTCAACATTGCAACGTTTCAGCAACATTATTTTAACTTTCTGTGCTATGGGATATTTACAAAATATTTAGAGTATTTACAAAATGTCTGGGGTAACACTAAGATAACGATCTTATATGAAAGACATGATAATTTTTTAAAGCTACCCTTTATACAAAAGACACATCTTTCTCATCAGATTATTATTATTCTAAAATATATTTCATATCATTGCGGTGTTTAATATCTACGCAAAGGATGCGGCTGTAAAATGACGACTGCAGACATAAGAAGACGCGAGAACAAGTTAAATAAAAAAAGAAGCACATCTCTCCGACTGTCATAAGAGGGCAGGGGGGGTGTAACATGGTACATGTTTATTTTAGATGAGGAGCCATGAGGTTTATCCCCTCGTCTTTGCGCCGCGTCGGTAATTCATCCGGCGCACGTCCAATTGAGAGCCGAGCAGGCCAGAGGAGGAAGGCCCGTTAGGCGGACGTGGCTTAGAGGGTTGAAAACGACGATGGCCTAATCGATGGCCATCTGTCGGGCATAGCGTGAAACTGCTATGAAACGTTTCAGCGTGTCCCGTGGCTGGTAAAACGCCGTCACGGATTGTGTATCGGTGGGTGGTTAATGAGAGCCGTAGGACTGAGCGAACGGCTTGATAGCGATCGATATGCGACGTCTTTGTATGCACGCGTTTATCGGATTGTTCGTTAACAGCCCGACATATTAGATCGAACGCACGTCAACAGCGATCATTAATCATTTTTGACCATGAAATACGCGTTTGAACAAATTATATCACACGTAACTTCACTCTTGTCGTAAAGAAGAAATACAAAACAGACGGAACGATTAGCGTAAAGGCCGAATCAGACTA